AAACCCTGTCCAACCGTCACACTTCTGTGCAAAAAGTGTAGTTCAACAACTTGATTCGAGGGCCAGCGTTTTGTATGCAGCGACGGCAGCTGAAAGGAGAAACGATGAGACCAGAAAACAATATTCAGACAAGAAACAATGAGATCAGAAAACCATGAAAACTTACCTACACGAAGCCACAACCGGCCTGTACAGCAGGATGGTGTTGCCCTTCGAGCATTGCTTGCTGACAGTCTCCACGAAGTTCTTGTCTTTGCTGACGGCTTCCACCGTCATTCTCGCGCCCGACTTGTCTTGCAAAACAGCTTGCGTTGTGTGGAAATGGCCGTACGGAAGCTCGCGCACAGTGGGCTTGTTGCTCTCGGTGGGGCTGTCTAACTCGACTACTTTGCCATGCACTTGGAAGAAGCTCGCATCCACTGGAAATTCTTCGACCTGCTTGATTGAGACTGTTGGGACATCTGGCTTTTTCAGCGCCATTGTTCCCGAAAGGACGGAATCCCGGCGCTCTTTTGCTAGAAGTACGTTGTGCAGCAGAACAGAAGAATTTGGAAGAAGGATCGCTGAAACCGAGGAAGGCAGTACTGCAAGCCGTTTGAGGACGGCTGATAGGCACACAGAAGCCTGTATCGATATGCCACAGCAGAGCGAAGTCGAAGCATAAGATAGACGAGAACGTAAGAATGTCACGATAGTCATTCAGAAGTCGTGCATGCTGAGCTGTAAACAATGTACAGATAAGTCAAAGAAGTCGTGTTTGCTGAGCTGTAAACAGTGCGCAGATAAGTCTAACAAATTTTGGAGAAGCCGAAGAAGAATGGAAAGTTCGCGAATGACACTGATGTGGGAGAAGGATGGAAAGTTTGCGAATGACGCTGATGTGGCGAATGTGAAGAAGGTACTAGAAGATGACGCGAAATGACAGAAGTTGAAAGCTGCGTGCAGATACAGCTGAAGTCGTGTTTGCGTTCTAAGTGCATGCGACGTCTTTGAAGCCGAAACTGTGCATGATCTAGATCAGTGTTTGCGCAGACACAGCTTCAGGCTGTGCGCGCCGGAGATATGAAACGGATGAACAATCGCAGCAGAGAAGCCAAACTGAGAGTTCTTGTAGTACGACCAACCGCGTGCGCCTGTTTGTGCGCGCGCGCGCATTCCCTTTCACACGCGCTCCTTTTCCCTAGCGGGTGCATTCTTCGCGTGCGCCGCTTCACGAGCGCACAATCTGCAGAATCTGCGAATTTTATGTTGCCCAATATCTCAAAGTACAAATGGACAGAATATTCGCTGCTCACCTGGACTCAGACTCGTGCCAACGAAACGTGGAGTGCACTGGGCAGTGATCACTCCAATACGCCTCCAAGTTTCTAGTTGTTCCTGCGCCTGCTAGAGATGACGATGCCCAGATGTGATCGAGAAGAGCGCCCTGATTCGTAGTCGGCAACGAGTTCAACAATTGAGCATTAAAAGAACGCATAATGTCCATAAGTCGGCTAGCTGCACCAGAAGGTTTTAGGAGGTCTATGTTGAAGTCTCCTGCACATACGAATGAGGGGGAAGAAGTAGGCGCTCTTTGAATCACGTTAGCAATGAACGAGTGCACGGTTTCCAAAAAACGGTCGATTTGGAAGTCAGATGGTGATCTATACACTGCTATGAGATAGAAATCAGGATCAGGACGGCCGCGTACATGCACGCACAACACCTATGAATGACAATCAGAGAAGGCAGAATGAACGGTGCCGCTTAGCATTCGACCGCTCTTCGATATGTACACCAAAACATTGTCGAAACCATCTCGCCCAGATGGATTAGCCTCTGCACGGAATAAATCGAAATCAGGCTGTTCCAGCGAGGAAAAGTCCCACATGGGCGACGCCCGCGTTTCTGTACAGACAATTATGTGACTGCGTTGGAAATTAGTATCTGAAAATATGTCAGAAGCATGAAGACGCAAAGAACGCACGTTGTGAGCAAGTAAATGCAATTCTCGATCGCTCCCAGGACTGATAGATACTTGTGGAATACATGGGATCACACACGCTTGTTGCCGAAGACGGGCCATTTCTTTAAGTACCTTAGAGCTTACTATAATCTCATCGAAAGCAGGATCTAGTATGAATAGCTGATTCAAGTCAGGAAACCGGCTCAAACCTACGTAGTGACGACCTGCGTCCACGTGATGCTTCGAGGCGCCCCTGAAATCGAGAGAGCCCTTCCGCAAAGTCATACCTTGTGTGTGGTAGAAGGTTCCGGCGGTTGCAGGTCGCAAAGGAAACTGGGTTCTCAAAATTGTACTTTCAATTCTTCGAGTGGCTTGAAAGGTTCGAGAAATTCGGAATACTGGTGTCCACGCAGAGTCAATAGACGGGCACTGCTGATACAGAGAAGCCCATTGTTCACGAGTTTGTTGCCCAATTCTATTTTCTAAAAATTCTACCCAAATAACGTGCGGATCGCGGCCACCGAGATCGTGGAACCGCCGGATGTATCCCGTAGCTCCATTGTACAATCCGTCCGGATTATTTGTATTACAAGTAATTTCGACCAAGAGTCCTTCTTTTAGCTGTAAAACCGCAAACAATGTTGCCGTTTCTGTATCCGGCATACTCGCAGCTCTAAACAGAAAGTGTTCGCGGTCTTTTGTTGAAGCACCGTATGATAACGGCTCATCTCGTGCATGAATTTCACATTCGGAACCCCCCGTAAGGCGCAGAACCAGACTGTTATGGGCGTCCCTTTTTTTGCGAGTGGCAAAAATATGCTTGTCAAAAGCAGAATAACTTGTTGGCAGATTCAGCGGATCTACGACTCTCGTTTCAAACAACGCTAAATCCGCTGCAGTATGACTGCCTGTCCGCAGCCGGTTAAGCGCTTCGGCAAATTCCAAGTTTTCTTGCTGCCGCATGATTTGAACGAGTTCAAACATTTCGACGTTCTCCTCCCACAAATTGCTAACAACTCAGTACTCCGTTTTTACGAACTCCCTCGAAGACGTAGCCGTCCCAAAGCGGTTGCAACTGAAACAAATCACCGCCAAAGAGTATCGGAAGTCCGCCGAACGGATCGACAGACTCGAATATTTCTTGCAAGCGATAGTTGATCATCTGTAGCAATTTAGCACCCGTCATTGAGATTTCGTCAATGACGCACCCTCTGAGATCTGTGTATGCGTCTCTAAGAGTCGCTTTTTTTTCACCAGCGACTGGAATGTAAGATTCTAGTTTCGCATACAGCGGAAGTTTAAAAGCGGAGTGGATCGTCACACCATCTATATTGAAGCCGGCACTTCCCGTGAACGCGGCTAACAACATTTTCAAAGAAGTTGGCTGCAAACCCATAGCTCCGCTGAACGTTCTAATAACCAGCTGTGTGATACATCGAATAACCAGACTTTTACCCGTTCCAGCCCCACCGGTAAGAAATTCGACAAATTTTCGAGTACCCGGGAACTTTAACGAATGTAAGACATGATCCACGTACGATCGCTGCGTTGTCGTAAGCGACCGCATTTGTGCACGGAAGTCATCATCAGGCAGTACAAATTGTGAATGGGGTAGCTTCTCTACAGCGGACGAAGCTGCAGACGGCACGAAGTCTGGTGATACTGTGAACTCGACAGGCGCACCTGTTTCCGAGGTCACGTTTGAATTACGGATGAACGGATCCTCTGAAGTATCACCGAAGATGTCTGCGTCTTCAGCTGCCTTGTTTTCTGCGTATCTTTCGACCTCGTCCCAGACAATATTAGAGTGATAATCGTAGACTGCTGCAGCAGTTTCAATGGCGTCTTTCTCAGCCTCATAGCGGGCTTCGAAAGTGTCATAGCCAGCCAGTAGTATATCGGTTTCAGCTGCGCTCAGAGCCATTGAGCTGTCTCCGCTAAATGCCCACGGGAGAAACAGCATAATACGCTCGCGGTAATATAGTTCGGGATCCTCAGATTTTTTAAAGTTCGCGTACCGTATGATCTTCGCTTTTTCGCGCTTATGATATCTGACAGAACCAGACACGTCACGGCTGTCGTCAAAGTCAAGTGCCGGCTCTTGATTTCTCACACTTGTGTCATCTAGAGCGTCATCATTTACTTCTTCCGGAAGATCTGGAGAGCTCTTAGAGGCTTCAAACCACGCAGCGAAGTCTGCTAAAGTTAAATTTTCAGAGCCTTGCATGCTCCAATTTTGTAAACGCATCGCGTACTTGTCGACTATGTTGGAATAAACACATTCCGTCGAGTCTTCCGGAAGGAGTCGCAGGGCACTGTCGGTTTTGATCAATAAAGTACGATTTTCTGGAATGCTTGTTGGAATGAATATGTGTTGTCGAGAGCTATGCCTGTACGGAAGCCCCAGGCATCCGTACACCGCTTCTTGCGCCGATATTTCCTGACCTTTTAGAAGAGCCATGCCCACATACCTTATTCCTCGGCGAAGTTCCATGTTTCCTCGCCGAGCGTCGGCATACGCTTGATCTAAGAGTTTACTAAGCCGATAATCTGTTTTCATCATATACGAACTGATATAGTTGGCCGCAGCGTACGCTTCTAGGACGAACTGTATATCCATATTCGTACCTCCCAGCAATTTCAACAGTTTCGGATTATAGTTATTGATGTAAATTTCAGAAGGTAATCTTCGCAAAAACACCGCTGGTTTCATCAATCTGAACCGCAGACCAAGTACATATTCTGCGGGTGTCAAAGACAAGCTAGCATAGAACTCGGAACACGACAAACGATGCAGATTTGATTCGTCCAACTCCAGACGCCTTAAGCCTGTTGTTATTCGTCTCGAGAACTCCGCGCATTCCTGCTTTTTAAAGTCTGAAATACTTTCCGGCAACGGATTCAAAATCATTGTCTCATGCAAAGGTGGCCGGGGGAAATCAAACCGACAAACAGACTTGCCTCCAGAAGTGCTACGTTTCAGACAGTAGCCACGCCTATGTTTGTGGTACTGCCCAGCCAGATCACTCGGAGATGCAGCCGAAGACGAACACGTCACGTGTTCGTCAATGAAAGCAACGACCGCTGTATCATCGTCGATTCCAAATTTAGGAGAATCGGCCAGATAGAAAGCAGCATGCGTATGCGGCGAGCCACGTTGTTGAAATTCATCGCGCCAAAAGAAGTCTGTGACGTGTCCAATCAAAGTCGAGTATTTTTGAAGTGTATGGATCAGGTGATCTCTCCGATTACAATAACAACGTGCTACTGTGACAGGATCATCTCTGATTAGTCGCGCTTTATCCAACCAAGGTAACTGTAAAGCGGCAGCCTCAGAAATGAACTCTCCAGTTGCCAATTTGTGCAAAGTTCGCAATAGAACACCCCAACGAGTTTCAGACATAGTAAAAGTAGCAAAAATTTGGAACGGGCCTAACTGTCGTATCATCGCAAAAGCTTCTTTCTTTCCTTGCCTGTTATACTCCGGACTACCGCGTAGCGTTTTAAAGTCCCGGTAGCCTACATTCTGTGATACCAGAGAAGTTTGAACGGCTGGATTTCGAAGTTCTCCAGCAGTAGGACATATATTATTTGGCAATTTCTTTTTCCGTAACCGTACCCATGATTCTCCAGACACGAAACTCGCTTGTAGTTTTCGTAGTTTGAAAAATATGTTGCTTGGATGACGTGCAAATCGCCTATCTTCATTACTGAGTTCAAATTTACATACTTTGCTGTAACTTTGATTGCCCTTAGGCCTAGCATATCCGTTGAATAGACAAGGAAACGCCTTCTCTTCGGCATACACATCTTGAAGCATACCAATTGGGGTCTGACCTTCACTTGGTGCCACATTCACACCGAATAAATGAGCACTAACATACGCAGGCGCGTCTTGCAGCATAGTCTCTTCCGGCGGCAGCTGACCGTCCTCATCTTCTTCAGGCTCCGAATCAGACGACGAAGTAATAGGTGCTGGTTCGTGTACGAACGGACCGCTTTCAAGACCAAGCGAGGCCGTACATGGCAGAGAGTCGCAGATAGTCACTTTCGCTGGCTTACTGCATTCGTTAAGCCAGTCAGAACGTATCGATACAGACGCATCATACCAAAGAGTAGGCTTGTGCCAAAGAGTCGGCTGTCTTGTCAGGAAAATTAAAGCATCACGTATTTTTGCTGGGCGCACGTTCTCCGCCGCTCGATAACAAGCCTTAGTTTTCAACTTGTATTTGATAGCTACGGGTATAGTTCCTTCTGAATCAATAAGTCTTGGAAGAGCGAGTTGAATCTTATTTAAATCGGCAGGAACGTTGACTACCATCCCTTTCAAAGCTAGTTGACCTGCTTTAGAAGAGCCTCCTGCCGTCGATGGCGGCAAACCACGTAATTTCATAAAAGGCAGTCGCAAAGCAATCAGATCATTCTCGATACTCGTCAAATCTTGTAACACAGGATCCAGAGTCGCAAAATCTGGTTGGTGAGGCGGCGCACCAGGTGGACATCTTCGTTTGGCCACATACCGATAGCATGTGGAACATATCCACTCTTCATCGTTTACAGATTTGCGACCGGTCAACCAAGCAAGCTCTTCATCAGTTTCAAGTCGATTCCTCAAAGTGTCACTAACTATTCGCATACTATGCGAAAACCAAGTACGGCGGCAGCAAGTGCAAACAAATACAGGTCCTTCATCACTTGCTTGACGAAATTCGCGAATTATGTCTTCAAGAGGCTCCGAGGCGATGTCATTTGCCGAACAACCAGCGTTCGGCATCATCGTCGAGATAACGCTTTCCAAACGCTTCTCCACCTCAGAACACAGCTTTAACTGATCAGAAGCAGGGAAATTAAGTTTGTGGCTTCCAGGTGCTTGTCTCGCGACGAAATCGTGCGCTAAAGCAGCTTCCGTTTCAGTTTCATACTCACCAAGCTGATAAACACAAGTTCCCACCTTGAGTCGAGCGCGATAGTTTGCACGACCAGTTTCCTGTTCATCGTACACTACAAAGGGAAGCGTACGGCTCGGAAACGAAGTAGACTCATCAGTTTTGGGTGCTCTTCGGCGTTGCATCATCTTACCTCTAATTGATGTCAAACATTGTTCAGCATACGCCCGCTCCGCTGCATCCATAGCCAACCCGTCAGGAAAGTTGAGAGGCCTCGGGTAAGCGCCTTCCGCCACGAGCGCTTCAACTACGTAATCATACGCTCTAGCAGCCTGCTCTTCAGAGTCGAATTTACCGTAATGATACTGCTTGTTGCTAAAAGAACACTTGATTTCGAATGGCTGCTGCAAGCGCTTCGTCTTGCTAACACCCCTAAACCACCCAGGATGCTCCGCAAATCTGTACTTGCAATTACCACAAAGGTGTGCTTGATTGAATGCTCTCTGCGTGCAGACTGGACATTCTTTCAAACGCTTTTTCCCGCTGCCCCCGCAGACCTGACAACTAAGCGCATCTGGCAGGACTTTGTTCGTACAGTGCAGCTTCCAAGGACACAGGATCATATCTAACTTGCCAGATTTCTGCTCCTCAGAGCACGCAGCTTCACCCGACTCATTATCTGTACAGTTTTCTACAAGCACTACATATGCCATCTCGCATGCCTGTACACCGCTCAATACAGCTCCCTCCTGAGAAGGCGGCACTGCCACTCGAATAGAAAAACCTGCTTCTTTGCCTTCCCAGCTGATAACTGTACCTGCGCAACTTTCGAAGCGACCATCAAGCGCGGTTGCGCAGACTTCGTCGCCTAACAATACCTGCGACCCATATCTATCTTCATCATCAGCAGGCGACGCCATTGACGAGATCACGCTTTCGCAGCAGAAGTTTAAGCAGGTCAAAGTGAAGCAAGAAAGGCGCCGAAAAAGCAGCTACAAATAGTTGACAGGACTCGCACAGAAGCCACGAACAGAACTCCATCGACATAGAAACAGCACAGCAGTCGAAAGTCGTACAGAAGTCTTAGCCGCGCTTCAAGCGATCATTGAAATAAACGAACCGTCGAGGTACCTACCGCTAATAATAAGACGGAGTCTCACACGCCCGCAAAGTACGTACCGCCATAAGGTAGCATGCACGACATGCATGCAACGCAGATTCATCACTAGCGTCAAAGCACAGATAGATTGTCAACCTACGCAGGGTAGGCCGGGTAGATAATGTATTAGGTATACCCCGCCCAGCTAAGCGCGGTCTAGTTCGACGACGACTCAGAGCAGCAGAAACTTCCACCAAATTGTTCGATTCTAAACCGCAATCCGCACCGCGACGCGCGGCCCAGTCTGACGGACCCTGTCGCCATTATACGGGAACTTTTTAACACCGTACTGTACGTTTTATCGTCGAACCCGGTCAACGCAAGCAGGCCGAGCGCCGGGGCCCGCGCTGCCCCGCATACAGCGCCGATTGAACCCATACCGATGGTTGCCCACTTCCCAGGGGGAAGAGGCAAGCCAATATGCGAATCTTTCTGCACGTTCGAGTGAATTCGAATCGCCGCATGTCAGACTTGGAGTTTTCACTACTGAGCCCGAAAATCCCCGGAGTTACGCACCGCGCGATAAATTTCAGCCTAGGTTCAGACTGAATCAGAGTACGCAGTGTCTGCCGACTCGGCGACTGCTTGCGACCGGTGATTTACGACGGTACGTACGGGGACTGGGACCGTAGAGAATTTGCCCGTAAAAGCACTGGGTACCGCAGGTTGCAGGTCCCCTTTTCTCATTGGTCCACTGTTCCAGCGTGGCAGCCCGGGGGAAAAACGTTGCAACATCTAATGTCGGTTTGGGAATATCGGAATGAATGTAGTGCCCCCTTTATCATAGCACTTGCTAAACCGAGTTGGCAAGCTTTTCTCCAGGTGGCAGGTGTCGGCGTTGGACGCTCTGTTGGAGGCAAGTCAGGACTTTGTCGTAGGGCTGTTCGGTGACGCGATCTTCTGCCAGGCGCACGGCAAGCGGAAGACCCTTCAGAAGAAGGACCTGGACCTAGCGCGCAGGATCCGCGGAATTCGGAACGAAGACAACACTCTGCCTTTGCAAGCCGCCGTGGAGCACGGCCTCGGGCACAAACGTGAGAAGGTCGAGTACGACCCCGGCAAAGCGGACGAGAAGAGGTGGAAGTCCGCAAAGCAAATCGAACGGGAGGCAAGAGAGAGGGCGACAAAGGATGCTAAACGGGCCCAGAAGGCGGAGTTGCAGCGCCAGACGCGAATGGCTGCAGAGCGCGCGGCTCGGGAAGCTGCGCATGGGCCTCAGGGAGGGGCTGAAACGTCGAAGCAGGGTGGAAAGAGGGGGAAGGGAGCGGCTTGAGAGGGGGGCCAGAAAATCGCCGCGCCGGAGAGATGGTGAAGTAGAGTAGTTTCTATAGAGGGGAAACCATAAACACTTTAAGGGTTCGTCGGAGTCTTGACTTTCGTGATGCAGTGGAGCTCCATTCGTGACAGCATATAATACTTTTAACGGTGACACACGCTAGTCAAATTGTACAGATTGCAAAATGGTTTCTTTCGGTATACTGCAGAGGGCAAAATCAAAAAAGAGATTGAATGACTTGCTTGGATAATGTCACACGATCATGGTACATGTAAGCACGTCGACATGCATCGTATAGTGAACGTCTGACATATTCTTCCATGTGCCGAAAAACTTGGTTTAGTGTGCCTAATTAGGCCCTAATTAGGGCTCCTTAATGGTTTAAATAGGGCCTGATTAGGACTAACTTAGGCCCTAACTAAGTGATGAATCGTGCAGCATGCCTGAAATGTGCTGTAACAGAGTCTTGCCAGTAGGAAGACTTCCTAGTAAAAGTCTCGTACCGTACTCGCAGCGCCACAAACAAAGACGGGGGAGGAACTCTTTGCTGAAGGCGTGCTGATGAACCCACCAGCGCGCTATGGCGGTCCTTCCTTTCAGAGAGGCTGAAATGGTGGAACCTACTCCTTTCCCTCCACCAGGACTGCCCCCACCGTCCTCCTCAACTTGGAAGGAGAAGGTCTCTGACGCTGCCGTCCTATGCAAGGCCGTGTACCAGATAAAGGCTAAGAACAGGGATGCCGTGCTCAACCGTCTGTATGAGCAACCTGTAGGCAAGTTTGAGTTCTTGCCTCTGCCAAGAGAGTATCAGAGTTCGGTTCAGAGGCTGGTTTTGGCGAGAAGTACCCATGGGCACATTGTTGTGTCGCTTAGGGGTACGAAGACCCTGAGAGACATTGTGACTGATTTTAGCATCAGGCAGCAGGCTTTAGAGTGTCTAGGTCGAGCCTGCGGAAAGGGAATGGAAGCGAATGGCGCAATGGCACACCGAGGGTTTTGGGCGAGGGCACAGGTATGACGGGATCAAAGCGCTGATTCTTGTAGCTTACATGGATGATTGGGGACATTTGAATGACAAGGATAGAATGATCAGCCTGTACTGAGAGAGCATCTTTTCGCTTACCTCTGGTTTAGGGTCTCTGTTGACCATCATTAATGATGCACCTTGGTTGACCCTACCTTGATGATTGCTAGGTTGCTAGGGTCCACATCTACACTCCCCTCAGTCCACTGAATCCCTATGCTTGACTGCGAGGTTTTTGGGTGGGGTCTATCAAGTCAGGATGAGAGTCATCCGGTCACTAGATTCTGGTTAGCAAGCTTTTGCAATGATTATTTGAGGTAAGGGATAAGCAAGCGTGAGTTGGTTTCAGTCTCCACAAGATCAAGCAGACAAATGGTTCTGTAATGATTTTTTCTTACACCGTAACTCATTACACAACCTGGCTTTAGCTCCATTCTTACTCTGGGCCAGATTCTACATTGAGGACAACAGAGCTTAACTAAGCTTAGTCAAGGAGTGCACAGTTCGTTGACAGTCCCTTTGTTAACTTCTTCCAGTCACTATTCTTTACATGGTCATGTTCACAGCTTACCTATCATTTGGGTTCGTCAAGTAATTCACGTTGGATTTCCTGCTGTTGATCTATCAAACTGCAGAAACCTGTTCCAAAGAGCTTGTGATATCTGCCTCGCAGTGCAAAACGCAAATGTTGGAAAGGCGCAGATTTTTGTCAGCTTTACCAATAGCAGCTCAAGCATTGAGCTCCTTAGTGCATACCATACTCGATTGGTTGTTCAAGCTCCTAGTGACACAGCTATGGTATGGAAGACTGTGTAGATGGCAAGACACCAGAGTGCCTGGTGATGTTAAGGTGTGACCAGCACTTGGCTGTGTGGTTGGGTTTCTTCAAATGCTTGCAGTGAGGGCGCAATGTAGATCAACTCCTTGCGGATCAAGAGAGATGCAGGAGAGCAGCAGGCACACACTCTGTACATGAATCTCAACGGTCTTGCCTCTGGTCATGGATCAGGCAGATTCCCTCATTTTGTGCTCAGATGACCCCACTCACTCAGGAAAAGCAGTTTGTGGCTCCATTATTCAGTTCAGCTGCTCCCTTCTTGCAGGGCATCCCTCTGGAGCACCTGCAACGGTTGCTGGACCTCGGTTACGACCTTGTCTTCACCGGCCACTCCATGGGGGGTGCAGTTGCGTCTCTGCTCATGCTGCGGCTGCTGGAGAGCCACGGGCCAGACAGCAAGTACAGGCAGCAGCTGCAGTGCTTCACCTTTGGGATGCCGATGTTTGCAAACCCGCAGCTCGCTGAGTACCTGAACACAGCATACCGAGGGCACTTCTATCACTTTGTGTCCAGGAATGACCCGGTGCCAAGGTGAGGTCTCAGCTGCCTCGTTTTGCTCAAGTTGTGATCTGTTTGAGCTAACACACTTAGCATGGTCAAGAAGCCCTGCTCACAGTGCTAGTTTAGACAGTTTTCAAGATGCTCTGAGCTTCTTCTGTTTTGACTCCAGCTCTGTGCGTTCTAGGATTTCAGAGGTTCCACAGGAGGGGGAGTCCTCATGTCAAATATGGTTTGCAAACACATGTACTTGATAGCAGCTCTGCTTCCAACCCCTCTCTGCACATGCTCAGATCAGGAACGCAGCAGGATTTTAGGAGCTTCAGAGCTGACTTGATACAGTTCTTCTTTCAAAAAATATGACAGCAGTTTGTTCTGGAAGAGATTAAGGGGAGAGTTCCCTTCCCTCATCATCGCTACCAATAGTTCTGCAGCAGCAATTTGCGCCTGGTTTGAAAATGCTGACCCCAATCCCTTCCCTCCAGGCTCATGCCCGTCATCAACGCCGTTTCCAAGGCCCTCAACAAGATGGACGCCGTGGCCGACGCCGGCTTCCTCATGGACATCGCCCTGGGCGCCATCCAGCACTTCACGCGCCTCCCGCTGAGCGTCACTGTGCGCCTCGCCGCGTCCCCCGTGCCCAAATCCGTCCGCCGCCGCCTGGTCGCCTTCCTAACCAGCATGGTCAGTGCGGTGGTCTACAACCCAACCCCGCACGCGTCTAGTTACACCTCGGCGGGGCATGTCGTCATGCTCGATATGCAGGAGGGATCCCTCGAGCCGATCCGGGACCGCGAACTCGTCGCACAGTTTGGCTCGCAGCACCTGAGCATGCTTTTCGGGCGCAAGGTGGACCAGATGGAGGAGCACATGATGCACACGTACATTGCGGGCCTGTTTGCGTGCAAGCAGATGCGCGAGGGGGGAGTGCTCGAGGAGCTCGTACGGTGCGTGCTGCGCAACTCGAGCGACGGGATGTCGGGTGGCGAGCGGGAGCAGGTGTCGGATATGGCCAGCCTGGAGCAGTCGGTGGAGAAGGAACTAGAGCGGGTCGCAGAGGAGGGCGAGGACGAGACGCCGCTCTCGATGGGGCCCCTCGCAGAGAAGCTGGCGAACGAGATCCGGTCTCTCAGCCGGCGCGGCTCCCGGGTGGATCTCTTCTCGGCTGCGGAGGACGAGGGGCTCTTCGCCGGGGGTGCGGACGGCGAGAGCTTCCTGAACCTGCGGCGGTTGTTTGACGAAGACGAAGACTCGGACGGGGACGAGCTCACACTCGAGAAGGGCAGCGAAGCGTCGGCGCTAGGGGCGCTGGCGGTTAGCTCCCCTCGGCAGAAGCAGCTGTTGCGGCTCGATCTGCCCCCCCGGAGCCCGAGACGGAAGCAGCGAAGAGCGGAGGGCTTGGAGAACAAGCCGATCCGTCGGTACCTGCTGAAACGACGGTGGCAGATGCTGCGGGTGTTGCGTCACGTGCAGGGCATCCGGCAGCTGACGCGGTTGCAGCAGGTGGGCTACGTGATCGCAGTGATTGGTTTGATGAAGGCGTCGCCGTTCATGTAGACAGCCGTCCAAGTAGGAAACAGATGAAGACGAGTTGGCTGGCTGAAAGCAGGCGGGCTAGACATTAGTCAGGAGGTAGCCAAACCTAGGTTTAGGAAGGTGAAGTTAGCTCACTCCCAGTGAGATGATAAGCCCGGAGTAGTGTTTGTTAAAAGAGCTCTGCTAGGATCAGCTTGTATCAATGATGCAGGATAGACTAGCACAAACACTCGATACCATGTACAATCGATGCCGAGTAAGTAGGCAGTGGTAGATGGCAGGATACCAGATTGAAGAAAGCAGGTTAGCTTTTTAGAAGTAAAGACTTGTGCCTTTATATGTAGTGTTAGCTTCTAAACCAAGACCGACTAGATCAAGATTAGTTTACATACACTTAGTGCCAATGACCAGACTGCACATATCAGGCTGCAACTAGAGCAGAAGCAAAGTCAATGTTTTCGAGCCTGCTGTTTTGCTGGTTCGCTGCTGGGACACTTTGCAGCCTGGTTACATGTCTACATGTTACAATCACATATGAGTCAGCGTATACGCGTGAATGCAACGGCGAGTGTGTCGTCGTCATCTAATGAGGAAAAACGAGTTTACAATTCAACATCACTTTGTAGCTTGTTCGAATGATTGATAATCAAACGTGTTCTCATGATTGCAATGTTCAGACATGCAATATGCTCGCGCGTCGATAAATCAAAGGTTCGGAATCATGCGCCATGTGATCGTATCATGATCAACGATCGCGTACATGCAGTTGCGCGTCGCCAGTGGCCGGGGGTTTGGGTTTGCAGTCGACGCATGCAAACGTCGGATCTGCAAGGGACTTAATCTCCGGCCGCGTCCCAAGCAGCAAGTATACGGCTTAAGGCAGTTCAGTGACGGTTATATAACTTAAGCTCTCATGTGCATATTATGCAGGTACCAGCTGGCTGCGCAAAGAACCAGAGTTATGACTTGGCCATGCAAGCATTGAAACTTCCGACATCGGATTGTACATTGTACATGATACTAATCTTCACCAGGAGGCACATACATGCACTATGCAACATATACGACTGCGATCATGTTGGCGGGCTCAATGTGAGAACTTTCCAATTCGCTTCAATGTTTGCTACACGACAAATGCCCCAGTGCATAATTAGAACCGGCCAACTTTCAATCCACAGCAAACCCGCAAGCTTCCAAGCAAGATACGGTTCCAGTTCGAGATCGGGAGTACGTTTGCTTTAGAGTCCTTGATCTGGCGCGTGACTGTCTTGGAAGAACCTCAGCCACGGCCTCAGAAACCAAGAGGAGAGTTCGGGATGAAGAGCTTGCGTATAGCAGCGTATAGCAGCTCATGTGATTGGCTGGAAATATCTTGTGCCACCCCCCGGTTTCGTGTGCCAGCAGTGCGGGCGCCTGCCCTAATCCCGCCTGCTAAGTTCAAATCTCTCCACGTCTACGAAAGCTACCCTAGTTCTAACAGCCACGCAGAATCGAGTGATCCCATCCGGCGCGTCGCTTGCCTGCAGCTGACCTCGTCCCAAGTTCGGCTGCGGCGCCCAACATCTCAAAGTAACTTTTCCGTCAGTATCACCAACCCATCGGCTGAACCCCTGGTCAGCCCATCCCTCCAGGCTTACATCCCACGATAATCCATTTTCCGGCACTTGCTCTTTGGCCAACGCCTCTCTGTGTCTCCGCTTGGGAAAGCGCATAAAACTTTCCACGCAAGGTCGATGTAAGCTTGCTTTTCTGTAAAGCATCACGATCAGATGACCAGAACGACATTCCTTGGCATTCCCCTTGCTTTAGCCTTTTCACATCCACGAAAAGTACTACAATTCCCTCAACTCTGTCGAACTTCGAACCCCAGCAGTCGACAAGTTTTCTCCGATCGCCCACCACTCGCATCTCAGACGCTTTGCTGGCGCCCCCCGGCCGGCCCTTCCTTCCTCGGCAGTGGCGCGGCGGCCCCCTGCTTTGCCACGTACACCTGCTTCACCTTGGCTGCCTCGCGAGCGGCTGCATTACCGCCTCCGGGTGCAACTCCCCCGTTCGCTGCGGGCGGCCGTTCCCCGCCACCCATTCTCCCCCCACCCCTCCTCGACCCCGACGCAGCCCCCCGCTGCGGCCCCTGGCCCGCAACTGGCCCTCTCCCCTGACCCCCCCGCCCTCCTCGGTGCGGCCCTTGCTCGGTTTGTTGCCTCGGATTGCCCCCCCCCGGCTGCTGCTGCCCCCTGTCTCTTCCTCCGTTTACGTTCCCGTCGCCCTTGTCTTGGTTCCCGGCTCCGTTACCTCCCCCTCTGCCCCCTCGCCCCCCGCCCCTCCTGGGCCTCTGGACCGTCCTCACCACACCCCCCCGCCGCGACGCACCCTGTTCGTCTACGTCCCCCCCCCTCGCGGGCCCTTGTTCTGGTGGCCCCCCTGCCGGGGCGGAACCCCCTGCTGCGGAAAGTTCGGCGTCGGCCAGTCCCCGAGACCCAGCTCGTCGGGGAACTGCGCGGCAGGGTCGCTGTGCACGCTTTCGCTGCGGCTGCTGGCCCCCCCCTGCGGCTTCTGCAAATCGGCAAAGGGTGGCATGCCCCCCTCGAGGGAGTGCGGCGGCAGGGGGATCCCCCCCTCGCCGAATTGTTGCTGCTGGAGCATGGCGTTGAAGAAGGGCGCCCCTTGCATGTGGGGGGGGTGTTGCGGGCTGTGGGGGGGGCGGCCCATGTGCGCCCAAGGACCAGGGTCCGGTCCCAGATTCTGCAGGGAGGCAGTCTGTGGTGTCAGCTCAAATGCTTGTGATGTCAGAAGAACCTGACGCGAGCTTCAGATGTTAGTATCATGCAAGCTAGTATCAAGGGGAGCTTGTGTGTATCGACGAAGCAAAAGGACTGATAGTGACACTGGTACAACAGCAATTACATCTTCGAAAGCACAATGATTGATTGCTGTGCACGACCTTCACGAAAAAGGGGGGGATTCGTTAGCCTAGAACTTTGGCATGTCCAGCAGGAGACCGAAAGCACTGAACCCAGCAACCAAAAAGTAGGATACAAGCGGCCCACGTTCAGAGTCTGTGACCGTTCCACACAGAATGGTCGTCATAGGCGTCCTACCTGGAACGGATTGTGCACCCCCTCAAACGGCCCCTGAGGCCTCGCGACCGCCCCTGGCGCAAAGTTGCGCTGCCCGCTGCCTGGCGCCGAGCTCGGCGGACCCTGGGACAGGGCCCTCTGCTGCTGGTGCTGTGGGGGGGAGTCCCGCCCCCCCGAACCGGGGGCGCCCTCCGCAGGGGGGGTGTGCTTCCAGTCGGGCTGCTTGCCGGTGGGCAGGTAACCGGGGTTCATGAAGCCCATGCCTAGTTGCCCGAACTGGCCCACGGGGCCGAAGGGGTGGTTGTACATCATCATGTGGTTCTGCGGTACGAGAGGACGGGAAAATCAGGAATTTGTACTTCAATAGGCTCAAAGCTCAACAAAGAGATGAGTCGAAAGGGTTTGACCTCTGCACATGCGGGTAGACGGATTTGCCTAGAGAACATTTCATTCAGCTCCAGAGTTCGTTCTCGCCGTAAGCCTCGAAAAAAGTCTTTAGAGCAGTGATAGAACGAAGTCTGTCGACTGATAAACCACGGCTAGGCTGCGAGTAGAGTTGTACTCGCCCTCTACCCAAAAAGCGATCTAGGTTCCCGCCAACCAAAAACTTGGCAAGCACATCTTGTCGAACAAAGGTTCCAGTAGAGAAGTTCGAGTGCCGCACACAAGGAATTATACACCGCGAAATCTAGGTTAGTAGGACTCAACATCGCTACCCAATCACGTCTCTGGCTCCAAAATGATAAATCCATAAGCACTCCGCCGTACTCCTTCCAGATTTGTATACGCAAGATGTGAAAGATTGCACGTTTATGTTCACTCGCCAACCCCTCACCTGGCCTGGCCGGTTCATGAACGCCCCGGGGAAGCCCCCCTGGGGCGGGGGTCCGAAAAAGGAGTCCATCCCCATGGAGAACTGCTGCGGGTGCATCGAAGGCGCCCATCCAGGCCCAGGCACCTGGCCGCGTTCTGCCATCGCCTGCAGCGCCTCGGGGGAGAAGCTCTGCGGGCCGCCACCCGGGTGGCCTGAAGAGAAGCGAGTTGCTGTCGTCAGATTGAGGTTCGGCTTCTTGCCGACGTCAGCTTGAGGTCGGGTGTCTTGCTGACGTCACATTAGAGTCCGGTTTTTTTCACGGGGCCATGGTTCCGAATACATGAGCTCTCGGTCGGATGCATGATTCGGCTTGGCTGTCGTAACGAAGACGCCAGCATGGATTATGGTTATTCTACGGGAGGGAAAACAAAGGAAAGCAAGGAACGCTGTTGCCCTCCACGAAGTGATGGAGAATTCAAGTATGGACAAAGATGATACACACGTTGCACAGAGCTAGGCTCTCTTAGGAACTGTCGCCCGTCACACGACCACTTCTCCCCACGAAACACCCATTTTCGCTTTTGAAACCCTAGCCAGAAGCTTGACAGGAAAGCGGCATCGCCCGAACCTCTCGACACACTCAAGACTTGGCAAACATCGCCGCCAGAGTTCACAAAATGTAAAGAGAGCCCCTCCCAGCAAGAGTGGCACAACGTCCTACCAGCGAAGGGCCCCCCCGGCTGCTGCATCATCGGCGGCCCGTTCGGCATGTGCTGCTGCCGCACGTCGCCCTCCCCTTCCTCCACCGCATCCACCGACAGGTCCGCCGGGAGTGCGTCGGCGCCCCCCTCGCTGCCCTGCCGTTTCTTCCCCACATTGAGAATCCGCCCCTCCTGTTCAGACTCGCTGTCTCCGATGGCCGCTGCTGCGATTGCCGACGCCGCCGCTTCCGCCTCCTTATCCTCCGGCCCATCGTCGTCCTCTGAGACGTGCTCGCCCCCCCTGTTCCGCTTGGCAAATGGCCCCCCCGCTGCACCGACAATGTCTTTCTTTGCTTCGGGGGGTAAGAGCGGGCCGGTTCCGGGATGGGGGGGGAGTTGGGTGGGACTGAGCGCGCCGAAGGTGAAGTTGTTGCCTTGCAGGGGGATGGGAATGGGCAGGTGGGGACCCCCCTGCGAGAAGTGCTTGGGGTCCGCCTCGAGCCCAAGCGTGGTGGGCAAATTGTCGTACTCGTGCTGGCGCATCGCGTTGTCGAGCTGCATCTGGGACAGGTTGATGGCCTGCAAGGGAGACAAAGGGTTTCAACGCCCACTTGATTAAGACCTCTCTGTTTGATTTATATGAAGCCAAACCTCAGGAACTTATCCTTCTCGTGATCTTTTACGCTGTCTACATCAGGCGCTGGTGCCAAGGAGGGGGTCGGCAACATGCCAGCTTGCGTTACTGGATCAACGTGTTCCCCTTGCGGCGATAACACGTACTTGGCACCGCCGTCAACTCGCACGGATCAAGGAGTCCACAAGTCCTGCTAAAGGTCTTCCGCTTCAATGCACCGGCCTCCCTACGCGATTCAACTGGGAAGAGCAACATACTTTCATCGTGGGCGACTATGAGAAATGTATCCTTACCTGCAGCGTAGAGTGAGCGCCGCCCCAGACATTGAGGCCCGCACTGGGACCCTTCTGTGCAGCCTCAGGGTGGGGCATGGGAAAGCCAGTCTCCTTTTGGCTGCAGGAAGCGGGCAAGGCGATCCATCAGAAACTTGGAAAGGAGCCATCAGTCTTTTAGAAAGACATGGAGGGCAAAGCAGAGACCTTAAGCCAAGAGATACGCAAAAGAACAGCGATCCTGAGCAGAAGGCATCTCCTCATTGGTCCCCTTAAAGTCTCTCTGATTCATAAATGTTCAGGTTTTTGTACTCTGGACTGTCCTATCCAGCCTGCCCAGTCAGCGCTGAGCAGCAATAGAAACTTTCAAGCGGCTACATTTGTGAAGTCAGCTTAATCTGCAAGACCCAACTCGCACTGACAAAGCAGTCAAGACGTCCAAACCTCCTCACCCGGCGCGAGACGAGGCCACTTGCATCGGCGATTGCGCTCCAAACGTGATCGTCGGTTGAGCGGTCGTCTGCTTCTCTTCTGAAATCATGCTTACTGGTGGCCGCAACTCGCCCATTGCCGTAGTAGCCGATGCGGGGACCTTGCGAGGTGCAGCGTCCTGACCGCCAGGTCGCAAGCTTTGGCGGGCGTCTGAGCGCAGGTCCGACGAGGATGGACCCTTGCCCGGCTGAAAGACCAGAGGGGCTTCGTTAGATTTGCAAATCATGCTGTTACTGACGCATTATTTTTGTCCTCCTCAGAGAGCACAACATCTGTCCACATCGTTCCCAACAGAAAACGACCCAACCAACGGCCAACCTTTTGCAAGATCGACATAGCACCGCTTTATGGGCAGCCTAGAGCTCTTTTATGACTTTATTTCGATGCACCAAGCTTTCTGCGACTTGTAGTCTACTTCCAAGAAATCGTGGCGCCTGCCCGACCCCTCTCATTTGCTCTTGGGATGCCTTCAAGAAAGAGACTCAAAGGCGCACGATGGCGCCATCACTAAAAAAATCATCATGGACGGGGGTGGGGCGTTCTTTCACCACGAAAAGATGCCAACTTGCTTCAAGATGTCTTCCTCACCTGCGGCCCCTTGCCCCGCTCCTTCTTCTCCTCCTTCCTCCTTCCCCCCCGCGCCTCCACCGACTCCCCCCCTGCCTGCTGCCCAAACACGCCGCTCTGCAGCTCATCAATGTCCAAATCGTCCTCAGCGCTCCGCTTGCCAGCTGGCGGCTGACCGAGAATCGACTGCGGCTGTGCTTCTCCCCAGCCAGTTGCACTGGGCATCCCGTCGCTGTCTGCCGGCTTTGGACCCCATCCGGTTGGGCCTGCCACCTGTGGGAGCCGCTGCTGGGGGGAGTGCTCTGGGTGGTTTTGTCTCTGGTGGGGGGGTGCTCCTCCACGGCCCCGAGGCCCCCGGCCGCGACCTGGGCCCTCGATCGGTCCGTCATTTGTTGTGCCGTCGCCTGAAGGCGAATCACATGAGGTTTAGCAGGGAGATGCACACCGTAGTGAGGAGATAGATGGGGGCCCTTAGACTTTTACAATCTAGGGGAACAGCATCTAAGTGACCTGAAGCCGGATAGGAGGCCTCTAAAGCAGGTTGAAAAGAACAAGCTAACTCAAAGAGTGCGTGGACGACACAAGGGGCCTACACCCAATACTTCTCTCAAAGAGCAATGCCCCTAAAAGAAGAACTGATGTTACCGTTTACCAAGTTGGGCTCCATGAAAAGCGGGTCCCCATACAAAGCCCTTCCAACCAGCTGCAACATAGCAAGATCCACAACAAAGGAGTCTTCCATGGTGCTTGGCAAAGCACTGCTAACGCGTTGACACCTCAAAACTTTACTTCCAAAGGCAACTCACCAGCGCCTCCACGTCCCATGCCTGGAGCTGGCCCCCGGCCGCGGCCCCGGTTTCCTCCCTGTGCTCCCCCCTTGCCTCTGCCAGGTGTCGTTGCGGCAGGGCGCTGCCCCCAGGCAACGTCTCCCGACCCCAGCAACCCTGCTCCTCCAACATTCTCCCCCCCACTCTCTGCCACACCCCCCTGCTGCCAGTGTTGTGCCACCCGGGGCGGCTGCTGACCTGACGTAGCGTTCACCACTTCCCTGTGCGTATCTTTCCCGGGGGGGGCTCTCGACGGCTTTGTCTCCTGGGGTGGGGGCACGCTCTCTTTTGCAGCGGCGGCCAGGGCGGCCGCTTGCCGCGCCACCCACGCGTTCTGGGGGGGAGGCAGCGGGGGCGCAGCCTGCTGAGCTGGCTTCTCGAGCCCCTCTTGTGTCGGCTCTGGCGCCGCCACCTGGCGCGCTTCCACTGGCAGCTGCTCCTTTGGCTGGCGCTGCGTGACTTGCTCAATCAGCTTCTGCGAGTCTGAGTGGTGCGAGTACTTGGAGAGCGCCTGGAGCACCTCGGGCGCGAGGCTTACTTGCTGGCTGGCCGCATTCAGCGTCCGGGGGGTCTGGGGGAGGCCAAACTGCAAGGTGGGGGGCGGGAAGCCAGGCGACAGTTGTGAAGCCATGAAGTTGAGCTGAGGGAGTGACTGGGTGTCCAGCTTGGGGGGGTGCGTGAATGACACCGCTCCTTGCTGCTGCCGCCGGGAATCGTGATCCTGGGGAAGGTGCTCGGAGCGAACGGACTGCTTGACTTGGCTGTTGTCAGCTGGCAGTGCTGGCGCCCCCACCTCTGCTCTCGTGCCCTCAGCACTTACTGCTTTTCCCTCTGGCAACGAGTCTTTGCTCACGCCCTCCGCCTCAACGACCTTGGCAGCAACAGCTTCCTCGCCGACCTTCCGTTCCTGAGTAGGCATGCTTTGCCCCGGCACACCCGCACTCTCAGGAGCCCGCCACGACCAATCCCGATCGGGTGTGGGGGGCCCTCTCCCAGGCCCCACGCCCATCCCTCCTCGCCCACCCCCCCTCGGGCGCCGGTCCTCCACTCCCCTCCCCCGGCCCCTCCCCCCCAGGACCCCCTCTGCACGGATTCCATACGGCAGTCCCATGTCTCCCCGCCCTGGGTGCTTCGGCCCCACCGCTTCCCCCCCCTCCCTGCGCCAGCTGCCGGAGAAGTCACGCTTGCCCCCCTGCGGCGGAGGCGGGCGGAAGTCTGCGCGGATTGGCCCGCGAGGCATGGGCCCGTTTAGCATCCCGCGGGGGGGCTGATCGTAGAAGCCTT